GCCTGGCTAGTTTTGATTTATTGTAGAGATGAGGTCTCTCCAAGTTGCCCAGGCGGGTCTCGAACCCACAGCCTCAGGCAATCCACTCACCTCAGCCTCCCAAAGGCTCAGGACTACAGGCTGAGCCACCGAGCCCAGCTCAAAGTCAACAAATTTGTTAAGTAAAGATTATCTTCCTGATCTGTAAGTAGAAATAAAGCAAAAATGTGTTCCTGAAAGCCCAGCTTTGAAAGGCAAGGCAGTTGTAGGCTGAGGCTTATGGTACTTTAGTCCCCAGAAGTGGCAGGATGGTTGGGGTGTTCATCCGAGTTTGCCATACCTTTGGAGCAAGTCTCCAGTTGAACTGCCTGGCTCTTAGGTTGAGCCTCAGTTTCTTCATATGCAAAATGGCAGTCCTGCCTGTGTTGAGCTCGTGGTGGGACTGAATGAAATCATGAATGCAAAAGCATTTTAATGGTATAGGTGTAGCATATGTTTAAAATGCTGAGTGCTATTACCACAACACTGCCCCCACTGCAAGTGTGTTCATTTCAAAACAAAAACTGGTTTGGTTCTTTTCTCTTCAAGCTCATCTGTGAATTCAGTCAACTTTGAATGCTTAAAGGTCAGCGTAGGGCATATTCCAGTCAGAAGCAGCAAGCAAATTCCCAGAACCTGGCAGAAGAGTAAAATGGAACACCTTGCCAATGTTTTGATGTGCCTCAGGGCTCTAATCTTGTTGCCAAATTGGTATCAACACACACACACACACACACACACACACACACACACACACACACACACACACACCCCCTTCCTTCCCTCACTGTGAGTTTGTTTCCTGGGGAAGCATCTGCTGCCTTGCCCAGATGCTCACACGTTCCTGAGAAGTGGCAAATCTGTTCTCAGTCATTATGGCCATTACGGTCTAATTACCAAACAGGCACCGGAAGTCTATGTTATCATCCACGCTTCCTGTGACTCTGATCCAGGGGTTCAACCTTGAAGACTTTGAAAGGATCTGATGACTAGGCCCCATCCCAGAATCACAATCTTTGAGGATGGGTGCATGGGTATGCCAGTCCAGCTGATTCCATTGTCTCACTCTAGCTGAGAATTACTGCTCCAAGTTTTCTGAGTACAATTTCCTGGTATGGGAGTATTTGTGTGAAGGAGATCCCCCTTTTTCCTATGTAATTCTCAGAGTTGGTGATCACACCAAACAACTCAAAAAAGTGAGAAACTGGTTCCTGAACACGCAGGGTTATTTAGCTTTTAAAAGTATGTTTCACCCAGGTGGGCTCCCAGGCCCGACTGTGACGCTCCTTGCTTGTATATTGATCCCAGCTGTCCAATTCCTGGCCCACACCAGAACCAGGAGCTTCAATCTTCAGGCCAGAAGCTGACTGAACAGAGAGACGGTAGCAATCTTGAGAAGAACCACCAAAACAGACTGAGACTGGCAACTGAATTGATAGTAAGAGAAGCCTGGAACACCCACTATGCATTCCCCAAAAAGCAGTGGTATATGGAAGTCATCTACTTATGTGTAAGACCGTGACAATACCTGTCTCTCTACTATTCACATCCATGGCATGAAGAAGAGACACGCAGCCAGGCATAGAGACTCATGCCTGTAATCCCAGCACTTTGGGAAGCTGAGGGAGGAGGACTGCTTGGGCTCAAGAGTTCAAGACCAGCCTGAGCTACATAACAACACCTAGTCTCAAAAGAAAGAAAGAAAAGAACAACTATCAACGTGGTGACATGTGCCTGTAATCCTAGCTACTTGGGAGACTGAGGCAGGAAGATCATTTGA